AGCACGCGACCACGCGACCACGCCGACGGGCGGTCTCAGCTGGAGCGGTGGCGGCAAGAGGCATAGCAAGAGGCAGGGTCGCGTTCAAATTGAGAGGCCGGCTTGCTCGCTCCATCCGCGCGATGATAATGAGGTTGCGGGTGTCGAACAGAGCGCGAAGGTTCCCCGGGGGTAATGTAGGTGGCCAGCGCACAGCCAATCAGCATCTCGCACGCCGCACGCGCCATGCGCCTCGCTTCGGCAGACCACATGCTGGTGAAGGCGCGGAGCCAATGCTGGCGGTACCATGCCTTCGCCATGGCGATGAGCCCCTGGTCCAGGGGTTGGGTGAAGCAGGTGGTGTTCAGGGGGAGGTACACGAGGCGGACATTCCCGAGAGACCGCGTGCGAAAGCCGAAGAGGTCTTCCGTCGTGGCGCCCTCGGTCTTGAGCATGTGGCTGCTCACGTTGTCGAGCAGAAGCACAGTCTGCCGCCCCTCGGCATACATGGCAGCGTCCAACAGCTCGATGTGGTGAGTGAAAAGTTGTCATGGGAGAATGCAGGGTAACACAGAGACTTATACTGTATAAACACACGAACGGCATACGAGTAATGTTAAGAAAAAACACACAGATTGCTCATGATACCGAACACAAAATGCGTGGCAAGACTAAAAGCACATGCATGTATGGATAAACAACTACACTCACCAACGACGTCATCCATCCTTTTGCATTGATGCGCCAGTAGCAGAGCTCCTCGGGATCGTAGTCAGGCCGGAAGTCATGGGGCTGCTTCGCCTTAGAAATCACCGACGGCCCGAAAGCGTGCGATCCGTCGACGTTGACGAGGAAGTCGATTTTGAGATGCTCCTTGGTCACCTTCCATCCCGCCACACGGCCATTGTCATACGTCTTACGCAGCAAGATGGAGGGGTAGAGCGCCATTTCGTCGAAGTTGAACGTGTCACGCGACTTATGAAAAGATGTTTGAGGAGTTGCGGGAGCTTTTTCCGAATAGTACGGACGGCTGTCGGAAAACCCCTCCTGCTTCTGTTCTTGAACTCCTGCTGCTTTCTCCTCCTCACCCTTGCATCTGTCTTGTCCCTGTCCCTTGGTTCCCTTCTTCATCCTCAGCCTGAGAGATTCCCGCTCCCACTCGATGGCTGCCCACAGTGGCTTAGAGCTACCTAGCTGGAGTTAGCTTGAAATGGTAACTTCAATCCACTATACGAGGCAAACAAACGAGAGAACAGGGTTGCAATTGCTACGCTAGGCTGCTTTGTTCACCCTCACTCGTGTTGCCAATTTCTTGGCGAGTGAATTGGGCTCGAGTCGCCTGAGCCTGGATTGGTTGATTCTGATTTCCTGTCTCTCGAGGCTTCCTGAATCCCACCGCTTTGTACCCACTAGTTCCCTGTACTACCAACTTCGCGTCACCCTCAAGAACCCAACCAACCCTCGCTGGAACTGAATACTACAAGCTACACCCCTCTACAGCTCACAAGCATGTAATAGAATATAATGCTTTTACCTTTGTATTCAGTGACAGCTGTCGAAAAACCCCTCCTGCTTCTGTCCTTGAACTCCCACTGCTTTCTCCTCCTCACCCATGCATCTGTCTTGTCCCTGTCCCTTGGTCCCCTTCTTCATCCTCGGCCACTACCTGCCCCCTCCTGTGCTCGTGCTCGAGCTGCTCGGGCCCGAGACACAGGACTTCCCAGCTGAGGACGGCTGCTCTGCATCCCTACCCTGTGGGTCTGGTTCCTTCTCGCTCTCTCTTCTTCTTCTCCAGCACCAGCACTCCTACACTTCGCCCCGCTTGCACCCGTCCCCTTCACTTTCTTCGCCCCACTGCTGTTGTCTCCTGCTTTGTCCGTCTCTACCCGCCCTACCCCTACAGCTTCCTCTGTCCCTCTGCCACCCGGCTGCTGCCACTGTTCATTGCTACACGCATCCCCCAACTGCACCACATGTAGGTCCTCCACCGCTGCCGGCATCACTTCCTTCAGATATCCTGCTGCTTTGCCTCCCTCCCAGGCCGCCCATTTCTCAGCCTCGTCCGTTCCCCCGGGTTCTGTCAACACCTGGGATGCTGCATCGGCTCATCGGCCCATGTTCCTCCCTTCATCCACCTCACTGTCTTCACGGCCTCTTTTGCTTCCTGACTCCTCGCATCTCCCATTGTATACTATACTTCTTCCCCCGCAGGCATGCACTCCCATGCCCCCGCTTCCTTGCGCTCCATCTCTGCTTCCTCCTGCTCCTGGGCTTTGTCCCACTCTGGACCTTCCCATCCTCCTACCCGTGGGTCTCCTGGCCCCCAGTCGCACGCCATATCTACATTTATGCTCCTCACACCCGTCTCTGCTCCTCTCCCTTCTTCTTTTGCCATTTTCTCTCCCAGCAGCTCTGGACGTTCTTCCCTCAGCTTCCTCACATGCTGCTCCGCCGAAACACTTCCCCGCACTTGCTTCTCTCCCTTCTGTAAACCTGACCATGCCCCCACCTTCTCGTCCTTCCCTTCTGCTGCTGCTACTGCAGGTACACACGCTCCCGCCCCCACATGCTCTTCCTTTTCTTCTGCTTCCGCTGCTGCTGGTACACACGCCCCTGCCCCCACCTGCTCGTCCTTCTCCTCTGCTTCCACTGCTGCTGGTACACACGCCCCTGCCCCCACCGTCTCGTTCTTCCCTTCCGTGTCTGCTGCTACCGGTTCATCCGCCCATGTCCCCACCTTCTCGTCCTTCTCTTCCGTTTCTGGCGTTACTTGCACACACACCCATGCCCCCACTTTACTCACTTGCTTCCTTCATTCGTCCCTGCCCCCACTGCGCCACCCCATGTTTTCATGGCCACGCAGCACTGCACAGGAGTACTCTAGCTCCTGCTCCTCTTCCTCCTCTTCCTCTGCCCTCGCGTACACTCCTGCCTCTTTCTCTGTCTGGCCTCCCAAAGCCTGCAGCTGAGCCCGCAACCTTCTTATTTGTGTTTCTATCTCCTCTTGTGACCTCCTTGCTCCCCCCGTCCTCTGATAGCAGTCCTTCTGGTGATGCCCCCTCTTCCCACACACTTCACAGGTTGGCGCGTCAGGGCAGTTCTAACGGCGGTGCCCTGGTTTCCCACACACGTCGCAGTTCTGGCAATTCAACTTCACATGCCCCAATTGCCCACACCTGTAGCAGGTCCTTGTGTCTGTCATTCTCCCATGTTGCTGCTCCTCTCTGCCTCCCGCCCCTGGCATCATTGCCGCGGCCCAGGTGGGTCGGATCTTCTTAGTCGCCCTTGGCAGGTATGCCTCATAACGCCTCTGTGCCAGCTCCACCTTTTCTGTTAGCTCGAACACTTCCTTCAGGCTTGCTTCTGCCCCCAGCTTGTAGACCCTCATTTTCAGTCCTCCGGCCAGCCCGTCGTCCAGTCCTGCCAGGAACTTGCTGATCAGCATGTTGCTGACGGTACACACTACATCCTCGGCCAGGTTCATGAGCCGCACATAATACGTTAGCAACGACTCATCCTTCCTGTGTTTGAAGTCCTGAAACTCCCTGATTCGCTCTACCGTGTGTCCTGGGAATTGCTTGCGCAGCCGCTCCAGGAACAGTGACGTAGGGTCGTCCCCATCCTCCTCTACCCTCCTCAGCCACTCTTGCATCTTCATGCGATACAATGTTTCTGCTTCCCCATCCAAAGTGTTCGGCAGACTCAAAAAGAAGTCGATGGGGTCCATCCCACTCCGATCACACCTGTACTTGACATTCCCAATCTGCATAAGATAATTCTTCAGGTTAGTGCTCGTCCCTTCATTCCCCGTGAAGCGCACTGGCACCTCTACTTGTGGTGGCGCCTGCGTGCCCCATCTCCCTGAGTCCCAGATTCCCGTTGCTCCTCGCTCCACGCAGCTAACTTCTCCTCTGTGCTCCCTCATTCCCCTGCTGCCTGTGCTTGTCCCATACAGCACCCTGTCTATCCCTTCTCTAGCCGCTCTGGCTTCGCTGGATCCTTCTCCTATCTGCCGTGGCCTCCTAGGGCCCCTCGGACCCGGCCTCCTTCTCCGCTCCTCCTCGTGAGCCTCTCTTCGCCCGCCTGCTTCCCCCCATCGCCTTTCCCTCCTCTCGGGCGAATATTCCTGGAATCGCCCTTCCCGCTTCCTCCTTTCCCGCTGCTGCCGGTCCTCTCTCTCACGAAACTCTCTCCGTTCTTCCTGCCTGCTCCTCAGCCCTTCTCTCCTTGCTGGGAAATGTTCTTCCCAGCTTTCCTCCCCTTGTCCCAACCCATGGCGTGCCCGCCTGTCACTCTCTTCCTCTTCCCCGCTCTCTGTTCCATACTCGTGCATCCCTTCCCGTCGCATGTGCTGCTTGTCACCTCTCTTCCTCTGTCCGCTCAGGTCCTGCTTCTCCCTCACCCCCGCTCCAGGCTTCCTTCGCCCTTCTCGCCTTCCCTTGTACCCCTCTCTTCCCTCAGGGCATGACTTCTTCTCCCGCCACTCCGGCTTCCCGCGTCGGCGCCATTCCAGATCATAACCATAGTCCTCTTCTTCACTATACTCATGTTCCTTCACTTCACGCAACTCCTCATCACTCCCTCTCGTCTTCTCCCTCCTTTCCTTCCTCTCAAGGGACTCTCCTTCATAGCGTCTCCCTCGTCCTTCTGCTCCTCGGCGCCCATGATCCTCTCTTCCTCTTCCTTTGTCACTTCCTGGGTCCTTCCCTGGGGACACCTTTCGCTGGCAGCGCTCTTCCTCACCCCTTTTCCTATTTATCTCCCTCTCCTGCCTCCCCCTTGCCTCCCCGACAGGTTCCTGCACCAACCTCGCTCCCGCGCACGGGTACCCTTCTATTCCTTCACGGCGCCCTCTCGCATCCGCACCCGTGACATACTGCGACGAACACTCACTGCCCTTAACACGCGCTTCCCTCTCTTCCGTCCGCTGTCGTGCAGGCGAGCGCTGCGCGCGCCTCCTCTCGCGGGCGTCCTCACTTCCTTTTCCCCCCTGCTCTGGTGATCGCCATCTGCCCAACGCCATGCGCCTCCTGCGCTCAAGTCCGCGTCTCGGCTCAGGCGAGCCATACACCCCAGCCTGCACGTCTTGCGTCCTCTCTTCCTCACGGCTGGCTCCTGGCGCGCGCTCAGACACCGTGCCTCGCATTACTTCCGCGCAGCCTACCTGGCGAGCGATCTGCATCCGCGCTCTCGCGGTGCCTTGCGCCATTCTCAGGCATTTTGCCCGCCGAACCATCTGCATCCACGCTCCCATGGCGCCTCGTGCCACTCTCGCGCATTTCGCCAGCAGAACGATCTGCATCCATGCTCCCACGGCGCCTCGCACTTCCCTCGCGCATCTCCTCCGGCGCGCGATCTGCTGCGATGTCCTCGTGGCGCCTCGTGCCACCCCCGCGCATCTCGTTCGCCGATCGATCTGCTTCCATTACACCTCCGCGTTCTTCGCGTCCATCTCCGCCATCGCTTCGCAGATCGTCCTCTTTCGCATCCGCCCGTTCTTCTCCGCGGCGCTTCGCGCCATTCCCACCCATTTCGTTTTCGTCCGTCGTGCCAGCTGCATCCGCACTGCCAAGACGCCTTTCGCCACTCCCATCCGTTTTGTCCGTCGCGCCAGCTGCATCCGCGCTCTCTCGGCGCCTCGTGCTTCCCTTGCGCCTGTCGTCCGGCGAGCGATCTGCCGCCATGTTCCCTCGACGTCTCACTTTGCCTTCTTCACCCATCCCCTCTGCTGCACGATCCGTTTCCGCGTCGCTCTTACGCTCTTCTGCACGTCGATTCAGCAGATCTGCCTCGTTCCTGCCTATGCGTTGCTCCCCGCCGCCCCGCGCAGTGGGGGCACCTTCGCAATCTCCCTCGTCGTCAGCCTCCCTTGCTGATTCCGGCGAGTCCGTCATATACGCGTCGTCATGACGCCCTCCTCCCGCTCCTTGCTGGCCACCTGCCAGATTCCAAGGATCACTTCCGCATGGACGAGGCCTGGGCTCCGCCTTCGCATGCAGATCGCCCTGGCTTCCTCCTCGTCGCCCTCGTACGGGTGAGCTTCGATCCGCGCGGTACGCCGCCCTCCGTAGAGAACGCGTCCGCGATCTCCCGCGCTCGAATGCGCACATCCTCCGCGACGGTGAAAACTCCCGACGTGAGTCCATTTGTTGCCAGTGCAGCTCGTGGCAGTTATACCGCTAATAGCTGTTCTCTTGTTTGTGAGAGATTCCCACTCCCACTCGATGGCTGCCCACAATGGCTTAGAGATACCTAGCTGGAGCTAGCTTGAAACGGTAACTTCAATCCACTATACGAGGCAAACAAACGCGAGAACAGGGTTGCAATTGCTACGCTATGCTGCTTTATTCACCCTCACCCGTGTTGCCTGTCACAAGAACAGACTGGAATGACTGAACTAACAAGGAAGGCAGTACAAATAGTAAACCCTAGAGATCTGTACCCCATATGGTCTAACCCACTGTAGCCTAACAACAACCAACACATATAATGTTTGACACACCCCCATAGGCAAAGTGGGGGAGACCTAGGGGTCACAAGACCAGTCAAGGCAAAGCAGGGCAAACAAGCTCAGGGTGGATCTCGAGGATTCCACACAAATTCCGAGCACAAGCTAGTGGTCACAAGACCAGTTCACATGCAGGTTTATAACAGAGCAAGAGATACAGTGATCACAACCTAGCAAGAGTAAACATGCAGGTATATATATATAGTGATCACAGTACAAGCAAAGTCAAGAGGTAAGCAAGTGAGGTCCAGTAGGCACAAGGCCTAGTAGAGTGCAGAAGCGCTGATGGTCACGAGGCTGAAGCGCCTTGGTGAACACATCAGCAGTGTTGGCCTCAATGGCCACGTAGCGAATACATAGCTGACCGCGCTGCTGCAGCTCTCGAGCAAGGAAGTACCGCAGAGCGATGTGTTTCGTTCTGTGCTCCAGTCTGTGCTCCTCACACAAGGCAATGGCAGCCTTGTTGTCGACGTACAGCACTGGAGGAGAACGAGGCCGCTCTCCGAGGTCGGTCAGCAGATAGGTCAGCCAGCGTAGCTCCTGTGCAGCCATGGCTGTGGCGTAGATCTCAGCCTCGCAACTGGAGCCGAGAACAGAAGAAGAGCGCGTAGAGCGCCAAGAAACTGAGCCAGAGCCAAGGCTGAAGGTGTAACCCTGAGACGACCGCTGAGTGGCCTGGTCGTCTGCCCAAGAAGCGTCTGAGTGCCCTGTGAGAACAACTCGGTCTCGCCCTCCAAGCACAAGCCCCATGCCCGACGTACTGCACAAGTAGCGCAACACCCTCTTAGCGGCATCCATGTGCTCCTTCCTGTGACGACCAGGAGCGACATAGCGTGCAAGGATGCTAAGAGGGTATGCAAGGTCAGGTCGAGTGCAGGTCATCAGGTACATGAGGCAGCCCACAAGCTCTGGGTACGGGCCACTCGGCTCTACGGACTCATCCGAAGGCAGAGCTGAGAGCGAGTGACCGGTAGACAGAGGAGTGGATTGAGGCGAGGAGTACGTGAAGCGGAAGCGCTGGAGAACCTGCTGCACCATGTGTGACTGAGTCAGGGTGATGGTGCGCCGTGCTCTGTCCCGGGTGATCCGCAAGCCAAGATAGCTTGTCAGCTCACCCAGGTCTGTGCACGTGTGTCTCCTCTGCAGCTCCGACTTCACGTAGGCGAGTCCTGCAGTGTCAGCAGTGGCAAAAACCAAGTCGTCGACGTACACGAGGATGTAGAACGGCGGCAGCGAAGTGTCGGTGCGCAGGAACAGCGACGGGTCAGCTGTAGAAGGCGCGAACCCAAGAGCCGCAAGTGTAGTCCTCAGTGTGTCGTGCCACTCACGCGGAGCCTGGCGGAGACCGTAGACCGGCCGCTGAAGCCTCCACTGGGTACCAGGAGGAAACGACCCAGTGAAGCCAGGTGGGCGGCGCAGCCAGATCTCCTCGTGCAGGCTGCCCTGCAGGAAAGCAGTGCTGAAGTCAAGTGAGTGAAGCTCGTAGTCGCGCTGAGCGGCTATGTGCAGCAGCACCCGAAGAGTAGTCATCTTCGGGGTGGGGGAGAAGGTATGGAAGAAGTCAACTCCCTCGCGCTGACTGAAGCCTCTAGCCACGTAGCGCGCCTTGAAGACAGGAGGAGAACCCGGCGGCCGCTTCACCCTGAAAATCCACATGCCACTGACGATGTTTGCCCCAGGAGGGGGAACCTCGTCTACGTAGGTGCGTGTGGACTTCCAGGAGGCCATCTCGGCGTCCATGGCTGTCTGCCACTGAGAGGAGTAGGGACCCGCCATCGCCTCAGCGTAAGTGCGCGGGGTCGGGATGTCTGGTGCATCCGGGTCTCCCTCAGGGGCAACTAGCAAGGACACGAGATGGGGCAAAGCAGCAGCAAGACACTGGAACTCCTCCTGTCTGTCCTCAAGGACGTCCGTGCCAAGAGCACACTCACCCCCGACGGACGGAGGACAGACAGACTCAGACTCAGACTCAGCAACCAGGCTAGCAGCGTAGTCTAGACGACAGGTAGCAGCAAAGTCAACCAACTCAGTGACCAGAGCAGACGCAGCCGAGGACTCAAAGGCAGGGTCAGTGACAACAGTAGCAAGGAGACGCGTGACAGTAGGGTGCTCAGCACGATACCGGTCAGACTCAGGGTCCGGAACGTCAGGCAAAGAGGACGCAGGAGGAGATGGTAGAGGGACACGCTGAGGAGCAGTAGAGGGACGCAGAGTCATGTAGTGAGTGCCTGGGACAGGAGGAGGACGCTCACGACGGACACGACTACCAGTGCGAGCAGGACGAACAGGCGACGCAGGACGAGACTCAGGCTCACGACGCTCTGTAAGACCTCCTGTGGGACCAGTGTAAGGAGAGGGAGCAGGGAGAGGCGAGGTAGGCGGTAACTGCGACTGCGGCTGGACAGGCGGAGGACACTCTACGGAGGGAGGAGGACAAGGAGGAGGAGCCTGCCCAAGAACCTGCTGAAGGAGCGGTACGAAGTACGGTCGCGGCCGCGCAGCGTCTCCAGAAGCAGAGGAGACTCCAGCGGCCGGGTCCACAGCACCAGCAGCAGCTCCACCGGCCGGGTCCTCAGCACCAGTAGTAGCTCCAACGCCCGGGTCCTCAGCAGCAGCAGCAGCGCCACCGCTCGGGTCCTCAGCTCCAGCAGCAGCTCCACCGTCCGAGTCCTCAGCACCAGCAGCAGCTCCACCGTCCGGGTCCTCAGCTCCAGCAGCAGCTCCACCGTCCGAGTCCTCAGCACCAGCAGCAGCTCCACCGTCCGGGTCCTCAGCACCAGCAGCAGCGCCACCGTCCGGGTCCTCAGCTCCAGCAGCAGCTCCAACGTCCGAGTCCTCAGCACCAGCAGCAGCTCCACCAGGCGGGTCCGCAGCACCAGCAGCAGCTCCAACGTCCGGGTCCTCAGCACCAGCAGCAGCGCCACCCCCAGGGTCCGCAGCACCAGGAGCACCACTCCGAAGACTGCAGCGCCGTGTGTACCACTCGCGGATCTGCTGAATGGGGGGGAGCTCCTGGGTAGGAGGGGAAGTACCGGGACGAGCTCCAGTAGCACCTCTCCGGAGGCGGCAGTACTCGAGGTACCTCTCCTGCAGCTGCTGGGAGGAGAGGGCTCCTCCAGGTGTAGCACGCTCAGGCTCAGCACCCCCAGACTCAGCACCCCCAGACTCAGCACCCCCAGGCTCAGCACCTCCAGGCTCCGCACCTCCAGGCTCCGCACCCCCAGACTCAGCACTCCCAGGCTCAGCACCCCCAGACGCAGCACCCCCAGGCTCAGCACCCCCAGACGCAGCACCCCCAGGCTCAGCACCCCTAGCAGGACGAGAGTCAACAGCTACCTCAACAGGCTCACCCGGGTCTACCTGGGACACACCTGAGGGAGCGGCACCCTGAGGGGGGAGGGGGTCTGGTACCTCAGCACCTGGAGCGAGGAAGAGAGGCGGGGGGGGGGGGGCAGTGCGGTAGGGGAAGAGGCGGTAGTAGGGGACGGACTCGTCAAAAGTGACGTCCTGAGAGGCCAGGACACGACGCGAGGTGGGGTGGTAGAACTGCCAGCCAGGGGCGTCCGGGACAAAGCCAAGGAAGACGCAGGGGACAGCACGACGGGAGAGCTTGTCCGCGGACGTGTCGCGGACAAAAGCTCGGGATCCCCAGACCCGAAAACGCGACGCATCGCCAGCCTCTCCCGTCCAACGCAGTGTCGGAGAAGTCTCGGGCAAGGAGACACGGGGCCAGAGGTTGAGCTGATGCGCAGCGTATCGGACTGCAAACGGCCACAGAAAATGGGGGGCAGCCGCATGGCTCAAGGAGGTACGAGCGACCTCCATGACCAGACCAATGCGGTGCTCAGCAACCCCATTCTGCTGTGGAGAGGCCGGAAGTGTGAACGACTGCTCAATGCCCTCCTGCTGACAGAAGGCCTCCAATAGGCCAGAGGAAAACTCCCCACCTCTGTCAGAGTGCAGACGCAGGACAGGGAAGTCGGAGCGGAAACGCTCACGGAGCTGGAGACGAGATCTGCGGATCCAAGGGATCAAGACATCAGGGACGTCACCCTTGGCGCGCAAGGGGAAGACCGTGGTGTAGCGCGAGAAGTCGTCAACAACAATCAGGAAGTACCTCTCCTGACCCTGACCACGGACGCGGGCTGGGCCCCACACGTCCATGTGGAGCGTCTGCAAGGGAGCAGTCGTCGGGGGAAAGGAGGAGGAGTGAGGAGCGGCGCGCTGCCGTCCCTCGACACAGGGAATACAGGGAGGAGCAGGCGAGTCGGGAAGGGGAGGGAGCACCCTGGGAAGACCAGCAACAAGGTCCCGTTTGTGCATGGCCCGAAGGCGCTGCACAGACGGGTGACCAAGGCGGTGGTGCCAAAGGACAGTCTCATGCGCCAGAGAGCGACACGAGCAGGGGGCGGACAGCTGACCTGACGCAGACGCAGACGCGGACGCAGCTACCTGAGGGGACTCAGTGGTCAGTGTGTAAAGGTCCGACCCCGGCTCCCGAGTGAAGGTAGCCAGGTGGCGACCCGTCCGAGCACACGTGCAGTGTGTCACGCGCTCGTAGGCAGGGGTGAACTGGTGAACACCCCCGTCCTGGAGCGCACTACCTGCCACCAAGTTCGTAGAGAACGAGGGGAGGTAGAGACCTGACAGCGTGCCGGACGGGACCGCCGGACAAGGAAGGACAGTGGAGGAGGTCGCAATGACCGGACCCCCAGAGGGGTCAGCAAGGGAGACAGCAACTGGCCGAGCGAGTGGCTCAAGGACAGTGCGGTCACGAAAGAAGGAGCGACAACCACCTGAGTCCAGTGTGAAGGTGTGCAGTGCTGCAGTCGACTCAGTACGAGGGGGCACGGACGCACGAGCACCTAGGGCTGCAGCCTCACCAGGACCTGTGGGAGCAGACGCACTAGCACCTAGAGCGGCAGCCGGACTGGCCTGAATGCCCGGGTCGGGCGGAACACGCAAGTACTGAGCACCCTCTCCACTAATAGACATCGCATACATGGCAGTGAGAATAGCATCAAAGTCTAAAGCCCAAATATCAACACCCCTCTTTTCCAGATCAGCCCAGCGCGGCAGCTCAGTGGCAGCAGGAAACTGAGTGCGCCACGCGTCGTTAAGGCGCGCGAAGCAGCGCTGCGTGGGGTGCGGCCTCCCACACTGCTGGCCGCTGCGGTCACCTGTGCGAATGACGTACGTGCAGGTAACGCTACGCTGCGCATACCACTCACGGGCGGCCTGAAGCGTTGGGGCGGGCTGCTGACTCGGGCCTCCGCCAGTGCCTCCACGACCACCACCCCCACCGCCGCCGCCCCGGCCACCTCCACCCCTGCCGCCGCCACGACCACCTCCGCCTCCGCTGCCGCCTCCACCACCACTCCCACCGCTGCTGTCTCCTCCCCCACTGCCGCCACTAGTCTCCCCAGCCGCGCCTCCACTCCCACCGCCTCCACCCCCACCTCCTCCGCCGCCACCCCCACCCCTGCCCCCTTTGTTCCTGCGGCGCCCGCTCGAAGCAGACGCGGTCCCGACCTTCTCAGCACCAAGAAGGTCGACAGCAGCAGCAGAGGCGACAGAGGGGAGGAGGGGGGAAGGGGAACACCCCTCAAAGAACGGGTTGCAGGGGTCGCCACGAGAGGTGCCTACAGCGACGATGCTCGCCTCAGCTGCAAGCAGTTCCTTCTCGAGGAGGGCAATGGTGAGCTCAGTGGGGGAGCGAGAGAGGAAGTGGTCCCTGACTGCGCGCAGAGAGTCAGGGAGGCGGGTGACGATGTGGTAGAGAGTGATCCAGAGTGGGGGGGGGTTGCTAGTGAGAAACTCGGCAGGCATAGCAGCGCGAAAGCGGGCCTCACTAGTCTTAAGGTGGGTGATGAGGTCTGCGACAGTGTGAAAGGAGGCTAGGTCGGGGAACAGGTAGGGGAGAGTGAGGCGGCCTAGCGTGGCAGAAGCGGGTGAGGAGTAGCGGGCAACTACAGCGGTGTAGAGGTCCTTAGCAGTCTTGCACTGGCCGAAGTGCTCGCGCTCGTCTAGCGGCAGGGAGTTGCGAATAGCAAAGCGAGCATGCGCATCACGGGTCTGCCACTGGGAGCGCAGAGTGCTGTCAGCAGTCGAGTCAGGGGCAGTGGCATGGCCTAGGGCGTGGTCGTACAGTGAGATATCTTCCTTGGCAGTGAGCTGTAGGAACAGGTGCAGGTCATCTAGCCAGGTTTCGAACTTCACCGGACGGCCCTCGGCATCGAAAGCTAGAACGGGAGGACTAGCCATAGCGACAGTAGCAGTAGCAGTAGTAGTAGGAATCAGGCCGCTGGAAAGGTGTGCGGAGGGTCAACGGGGCCGGCGGGGCCGCTAGGTAAGGCGCGGGCGGGGTCGACTGTCCGTAGTGGCACACGAGCGGCAATAGTAGGTAGCGTGGCAGCAGGAGCTGCAACGGCGCACTGGTGGTAGCTGCAGTGGTAGCAGTGTGCGCGGTAGGTAGTAAATAAACAGCAGTGAGAGCGAGTGCCTCGCGGGCGGCGGCTGCAGAAGCGCACGGGCGGCAGCGGCGCACGGGGAACGGTGGCGCACGGGCAATGGCGGCGCATGGTCAGCGGCAGCGTAGGGGCAGCGGTGCGCAAGCAGCAGCGGAAGCAGCGGCGTGCAAGCGGCTGCGGGCAGCGGGGCGTGCGCGAGCAGGCGACGGGCGGCTGCGGGGCGTGCGCGAGCAGGCGACGGGCGGCTGCGGGCGTGCGCGAGCAGGCGACGGGCAGTAGCGGCGCACGGCAGCAGCAGTGCACGGGCGGTAGTAGCGGCGGCAGCGGCTATGGGCACGGCAGAAACGCGGGAGCGGCAGCGGGCGACTCGCGGGCAGCAGCGGCAGCAGCAGCGGGGGACCGGCGGGCGGCAGCTGCAGCGGTGCAAATCGCGGGCCGGCGGGGCCGCGGCGGGCTGTGCGCTAGCGACGCAAAGGCGTGCGAGCAGTGCGCGGGCAGTGCGACGGGGCCGGCAGCGGGCAGCACGCAGGCCGCGGGGGTAAAATGCGGGCTGCGTGCGCGGTGCGCGGGCCGGTAGCGGGCGGTGCGCGGGCCGTTAGGGGCGATCGCAAGGCCGACGGGGCCGCTAAGGGGCGAGCGGCGGGGTCGTTCGAGGCGCTAAGGGGCGGCGCGACGGGGCCGTGAGGGGCCTCTAGGTCAAATGCGACGGGGCCGCGGGGCCTCTAGACGGGGCTCGATCGACGGGGCCAGCGGGGCCGAATAAAAAATAATGAAGCGCTCGAGGGCGCTACGGGGGAGGCGCTAAGAACGCGCTCCGGTAGTAGGTAGGTAGTTAGGTAGCGAACGGTGGGCCCTTAGGAACGGTCCTAGAGAAGGACCTGCTCTGAAACCATGTCACAAGAACAGACTGGAATGACTGAACTAACAAGGAAGGCAGTACAAATAGTAAACCCTAGAGATCTGTACCCCATATGGTCTAACCCACTGTAGCCTAACAACAACCAACATATATAATGTTTGACATTGCCAATTTCTTGGCGAGTGAATTGGGCTCGAGTTGCCCGAGCCTGGATTGGTTGATTCTGATTTTCTATCTCTCGAGGCTTCCTGAATCCCACCGCTTTGTACCCACTAGTTCCGTGTACTACCAACTTCGCGTCACCCTCAAGAACCCAACCAACCCTCGCTGAAACTGAATACTACAAGCTACACCCCTCTACACCTCACAAGCATGTAACTGAATATAATGCCTTTACCTTTATATTCTGTGACACGGCGGCCATGTCCTGGTCGGGCGCCTCGCCGACTGCGCTCATGCACCTGCGGCACAACGTGCGACGAACCTAGCCGATAGAGCAACAGAATGTCGGCGACAGTCTCTAAATTCGTGCCATATTCGCGACACGATCGAGAATTATCGCGGAAGCGAGAGGCACGCCAGCCGGGCCCGCATTTGCGATCCAGCGAGCCTTTACTCACTCCAGCTCCGGGTATGCGCCGCGAGCCTTTACTCACTCCAGCTCCGGGTATGCGCTCATGCACCTGCGGCACAACGTGCGACGAACCTAGCCGATAGAGCAACAGAATGTCGGCGACAGTCTCTAAATTCGTGCCATATTCGCGACACGATCGAGAATTATCGCGAAAGCGAGAGGCACGCCAGCCGGGCCCGCATTTGCGATCCAGCGAGCCTTTACTCACTCCAGCTCCGGATGACATCTTCGGCTCTATCCGCCATCGCCCATCGTTCGGCGCCTTTCAGCACGCATCTAATAGTCGAGCGGTCGGGCCGAATCCCGAAGCGGGTGAAACACCAGCGCATGAGATCAACATGTCGTAGTAGTGGGTTGGCAAAATGCGCGGTGCATTTTCTTGGCAACATTGGAAAGTTAGCTCGTAGCGCAGTCTCTCGTCATTGTTCGATCGTCCACTGTTCAATTGATGCATAATGGCTCCAAGAATATCACTTTTAGACGGGTGAAATCTGAAGATTTATTTCTGTTCCCAAGAAAGAAAAAAACTAAAACCTCTTCGAATGGGATTTCCATCGAAAGTTATCAACCCTAAACACCTTGTCGCATGGCGTTTAGGATTTATGCCTCCCGAAGAGCGTGCCATACTAAAGGGTTTTTTTTTTTTCTTCAGTGCTAGATGTCATGCGATAATCATGCGCAAGGTAAAAGGCAATCAAAGTTGGGATTCCCCAAAACCTACCGTATTCTCCCGGATAAAACATCCCTCCTAATTGTACACCCCCGGGTAGCTTGTGCGGGGTGGGTGTTATATTCGACCCCATTAGTACTATACCCCCTTTTTGGGGTGATTCTCTATAACACCCCCCTTTTCTTATAGATTCCTATTATAGTTGTTATCGAGTCCGATTCCTTACGGGAGGATATCGCGAGAATCGTCCCTAGATGAAATTTCGCATGTACTTTCACTTCGAATCTGCCGAGATTTCCCCCCTCCCACAATCTCGCTGTCGCCACGCTGGCGAATCTTCCGCTGCACGTGGCCCGAGAGGTGAAACTCACATTCTCACATGAGGCACAGGGACGTGAGTCGTGACCAAACCAGTCAAGAAGTGACTGGTACAGTGACAACGCATCACCGTGCGCGATTCCGGCCTCGGCGGAGTTGCCCACTAGAATTTGCCATGTGGCAGATTCCAGTGGGCGGTCAAGTATCCTCGTATACTCGGTTTTGCGGAACTGATCATCAATCTTGAAGTAAAAGTCAGACCCCTGATTTTGTTTCACATCTTTTCTGCTTTATAAAAAATATACCATATAATAAGACCCGGGTATTATGTAGGATTTTCCGTTTAGGAGAACCCCCCCAATTTTTCCCAGTGGTTTTCATAATACCCTAGGGTGTTTTATCCGGGAGAATATCTCAGCGGAAAGGGGTCGTCAAGCCTGACGACCAGCCGACGACTTGACGACATGCTGCCCCGGGCAGAAAAAAACTAAAACCCCATCGGATGGCATGCCATCCGAGGGAGGCATCAACCCTAAATCCATGCCTCCCCGCGTTTAGGGTTGATGCCTCCCTGACCGGATGCGCGCCCGTCTGGGGTTTATTTTTTTTGCCCGCGGGCAGCGAGCTCCCCCGGGCGGACTCGCTTGTCCGCTGAGATATACCAACCAGAATACGGTATACAGTTTCTTCATAGTGGCTCTGGGAGTTTCGACTTTCCTTCAGGGTTTCATCGAGTGACAATTCGTGGTAGAAATGTGGGGCACCGAGTGACTATCCGTGATAGTTCTATGATCATCCGTGATAGATTCGCAAGATTCTGTGACCGTTCGCGATAGTGATTCGTTGATCTGTAATAACGAGCCCATTTTTATGACCATTCGTATAATAACCCAAAGATCAACTCCCTTGCTGTTCGCTTCAATCCACCACCAGATGTATCTCGGTCCCCCACACCTATCACATCGCATTCCGATGCATTCAACCACGCTACGGTCCTACGTGGCGTCACACTCACTGTCGCCGTTATTATCACGTAATGAGACGACTCATAAACCGTTACGATTCTTCGAGCCGCAGCGCAAATGCCGCTGCTCTTGCACGCAAGAATCGACGCCACCGCGAAGGTCGGCGCCCAGGGCGGAGAGGCGGCTGTTCGGCGGCGGAGATTGTTCCACGTCGTTTTTCGGATGGAGATCGCAATATTCGCGATTACTAGTTGAGTCTCAGCCACAGTGTCGCAGCCGTCGCCGTCGCTATCGCCGGGGAGAATCGCAGGCGGCTGCGACAGCAGGGGGAGGGGAGCGGTCAGGAGGGGGAAAGGGGGGTGGGGGAAGGGGAAAAGGAGGGGGAGGGGGAGGGGGAGGGGGAAAGGCGGATGGCGGATTAGGGTTGGCGCGGAGGGTGGTCGAGGAGCTTCCAGATGGGCGGAAGCATGAATTCGCTACAGTGCAGCACTGCGAGGACTTTTGGCTTATAGTGAGGCACCTGGTAAGGAGGCTTTTTGCTTGAAAACGCCAAGCGACGCTGCTGGCAGGGAGGGAGCGCGGATGTGATAAGGCTATATGCACATTGTGAGTTATAACGAGAAACCGGGTGCATCTGTAACGAGTCCTCATAGAAATTTATTGCACGCTCTGTATTGTGTCACAGGCAAGCGCCAAGTTTCAATTCCAGAATTCCCCTCAGTTTCCCCTGCTCCCCTCCAACCTCCCTCTGCTCCCCTCCAACCTCCCTCTGCTCCCCTCCAACCTCCCTCTGCTCCCCTCCAACCTCCCTCTGCTCCCCTCCAACCTCCCTCTGCTCCCCTCCAACCTCCCTCTGCTCCCCTCCAACCTCCCTCTGCTCCCCTCCAACCTCCCTCTGCTCCCCTCCAACCTCCCTCTGCTCCCCTCCAACCTCCCTCTGCTCCCCTCCAACCTCCCTCTGCTCCCCTCCAACCTCCCTCTGCTCCCCTCCAACCTCCCTCTGCTCCCCTCCAACCTCCCTCTGCTCCCCTCCAACCTCCCTCTGCTCCCCTCCAACCTCCCTCTGCTCCCCTCCAACCTCCCTCTGCTCCCCTCCAACCTCCCTCTGCTCCCCTCCAACCTCCCTCTGCTCCCCTCCAACCTCCCTCTGCTCCCCTCCAACCTCCCTCTGCTCCCCTCCAACCTCCCTCTGCTCCCCTCCAACCTCCCTCTGCTCCCCTCCAACCTCCCTCTGCTCCCCTCCAACCTCCCTCTGCTCCCCTCCAACCTCCCTCTGCTCCCCTCCAACCTCCCTCTGCTCCCCTCCAACCTCCCTCTGCTCCCCTCCAACCTCCCTCTGCTCCCCTCCAACCTCCCTCTGCTCCCCTCCAACCTCCCTCTGCTCCCCTCCAACCTCCCTCTGCTCCCCTCCAACCTCCCTCTGCTCCCCTCCAACCTCCCTCTGCTCCCCTCCAACCTCCCTCTGCTCGTCTCCAACCTCCCTCTGCTCGTCTCCAACCTCCCTCTGCTCGTCTCCAACCTCCCTCTGCTCGTCTCCAACCTCCCTCTGCTCGTCTCCAACCTCCCTCTGCTCGTCTCCAACCTCCCTCTGCTCCCCTCCAACCTCCCTCTGCTCGTCTCCAACCTCCCTCTGCTCCCCTCCAACCTCCCTCTGCTCGTCTCCAACCTCCCTCTGCTCGTCTCCAACCTCCCTCTGCTCGTCTCCAACCTCCCTCTGCTCGTCTCCAACCTCCCTCTGCTCGTCTCCAACCTCCCTCTGCTCGTCTCCAACCTCCCTCTGCTCGTCTCCAACCTCCCTCTGCTCGTCTCCAACCTCCCTCTGCTCGTCTCCAACCTCCCTCTGCTCGTCTCCGCTCATATTCCTTCTCTTCTCCGCGCAATTTCACACCTGCTCCCCTCAAATCTCTCTCCGTTCCCCTCAGATTTCCCCCGTTGCCCAACAATACCCGCTGCTCCCCCCCGGCCTTCCCCTTGCCCTTCTCGAACGTCCCCCTTTTTACTTTCAAGTCTCCCCTTTCCCCTCTCGAATAATTCCCTGCTCAAATTGCGCCCTGTTTCATTCGATCCTTTCCCTACTCCTCTCAAATCTCTCTCGGTCGGCTCCCTTTATTTTTTTCCCTTCTCCTTTCAAAGCTCTCTCTGCTCCTCTCAAATCTCTCCCTGATCCTCTCGAATTCCCCCCTGCTCCCCTCCTTGCCCCAGATGCCATTGGCATTCCACACTTTTGCTCCAGGCACAGGTGCCTCTTCAGGTGATTCCTCAGGTGAAACGTCAGGTGGTTCATCAGACGGCGACAACCGGAGTGCTGCTGCGGAGAGGCAGCAGGCGCTGAAGCTGAGGCTGCAGCAGAAGCACAGAGCAGCAGAGGGGACAGGTGGTGGGAAGATTTACAATGGTCATAGGGGAATGAGCATGAATGATGCGTATGGGAGCAGCAGAGGGGGTGACGGGGTTAGCAGTGATGGTGGGAGGAGCGATGGGAGCAATGAACATAATAACGGGAGTGATGCTGCCGAGAAGAGATACGATTTCGTGCAATATCCACTGATTCGGCTTATTCACCGCGCCCGGGACTGCTCGCCTGTCACGGAGAAGCTTCTGGGCGGCGTGAGTTTGGATCTAGTGGCGGATATGGCCGGCAAACTCACTGCCGGCGGCTGCGTCACTGCAGTGGCAGCTCCACAGTTGGGGGCGCTGCATGACGTCATCCTCACCACTGAGGAACCTGCTGAGAAGCTTCCGGCTTCTACTGGAGCTGTGGGGGGAGCGGTGGGGGGGGCTGTCGGGAGGATGGTGGGGGGGAAGGTGGGGGAAGGGGTTGGGGGACTGGGGGGAGCACTGGGGGGAGCGTTGGGGGGAGCGTTGGGGGGATTAATGGGGGGAAGGCGGGCTGTTCCTGCTGGTAAGTCGGTGCGCAGTCGAAGAGGAGGGGGGAGTGGGGGTGACAACAGCAGCATTATCAGCAGTAGAAGCGGTGGCAGTGACAGCAACAGCAACAGCAACAGCAGCAGCAGCAGCAGCAGCAGCAGCAGCAGCAGCAGAAGCAGCAGCAGCAGCAGCAGCAGCAGCAGCAGGCGGAGCAAGGAGCTGGACGGCATTCTTTGTCCTACATCTGGACCTCGAGTGCATGTGCTGTGCAATGCACGGGTGGTGCAGATGCCCAGGGAGCGAGCGGAGCAGCTCGAGGCGTGCCCCTGCCTGCCAGGACTTGCCCTACCTGTCATGGTAGGTCGTATGGGTGCTTTAGTGGTAGGCACTGGCTAGGCTACTCTATCACGTATAGATGGGCATACGTACCAGCTAACATCTCCGCCCCCATTGTCCCCATTCCCACCCACTCCTCTCTCCTTTCCACGGCCTCCAACTTTCACATGTTGGCCCTACTCAGAATCTGTTCATGACCCTCGCATCCCTTCCGTTACCCCCCTCAGTGTGTGCGTGTCATCATGGCTCGCAATGAGAACCCAACCCTCGTCACGTCACTCATGGTTGAAATGGCAGCAGTGCTAGAGAAAAGGTTCAGCAAGAAAGAAAGAGGGTAAAGAGTACCCTCAGTGTGTGTGTGTGTGATGGCTCATGATGTTTGAACCTGCCGAGGTGACTTTTGATTGGACTCAAGAGTACCATCAGTGTGTGTCGTTCATGGCTCACGATGTGAACCAACCCCTCTTCCCCGCTCCCTCCCTTCCTCCTCTTCCCCCCATCCGCTTTCGCCCTCTCCGCTTTCCCTCCCTCTTCATACCTCCCCCCTCTTCTTCCCTCCTATCTCCCCTTCTCCCTCCCATCTCCCCTTCTCCCTCCCATCTCCCCTTCTCCCTCCCATCTCCCCTTCTCCCTCCCATCTCCCCTTCTCCCTCCCATCTCCCCTTCTCCCTCCCATCTCCCCTTCTCCCTCCCATCTCCCCTTCTCCCTCCCATCTCCCCTTCTCCCTCCCATCTCCCCTTCTCCCTCCCATCTCCCCTTCTCCCTCCCATCTCCCCTTCTCCCTCCCATCTCCCCTTCTCCCTCCCATCTCCCCTTCTCCCTCCCATCTCCCCTTCTCCCTCCCATCTCCCCTTCTCCCTCCCATCTCTCCTTCTCCTATCCTGCATCAGAGACCCCCTTGGGTGCGTGTCATGGCACGCGACGAGAGCCAGCAACAGCATGTGTACCTGGTATGTGAATGTAGTATGGTATGATTGATGGTATGTGTATATGGTATGATTGATGCTGCAGTATGCAGTATGCATGCAGCAAGGTATGGAGGACTGAGAAATCGTGAAAGTGAGGATGAGTCCCGCCGACCCACCGGCCAGCGGGATAACGTCAGAAGACCCGCAGCATGTGTGTGCGTACATGTGCATCTTTTGATGCACCCAAGACACGTGTGTACATGTACGTACATGGTAACCCTTTAGCAAGCAACGCATGAGAGCATGTATGCACACAGTCTATGTGCCAGTGCCAGGTCTGGCATGACCATGCATGTAGCCTGTGTACAATGCACCATAGCCTTGCATACATGTAGTATCCCAGTCGACAGTCATCCTGTTGTCACCCCTCTGATCGCCTTAGACCCCTCTCCCTCCGCTCCCCTCTATCTCGTTTTTTAGGCGCCTCAAAACTAGCCGTGCATACATGTAATGTAATATCCCAATCTACAGTCATTCTGTTGTTAGGAGGTGACTTTTGAGTCGACTCAAGTCCACTCGACAGTCATCCTGTTGTCACCCTACGTGAAAGAAGTAGTGTTTTGAGACGTCTCAAAACCTTGCATACATGTAGTATCCCACTCGACAGTCATCCTGTTGTCACCCCTCTGATCGCCTTAGACCCATCTCCGCTCCCCTCTGTCTCTCCCATCCATTCTCTTGCTTCCCACTCCGCAACCCCCTCACTCCCCATGCAGTTGAAAGGGGCAGCAGAAATCTCTGTGCTTCGAGCAATGGACCACTGCCACGACCGGCTGCTGCTGGATATGCACTCGCCCTCCTCACTCCCCTCACCTTCCTCATCCCCCACAACCGCCCTCAACCGCCCTGCAGTTCAAAGGTGCAGCAGCGCACTCGGTTCTTCGAGCAATGGACCACTGCCACGGCCGGTTGCTGCTGGACGTGCAGTCCCCTCCCTCTGCTCCCCACCGCCGTCAGCAGCAGCAGCAGCAGCTGAAACAGCAGCAACAGCTGAACGAACGGCAAGCACAGCAGCAGCAGCTGCAGCGGCTAGAGGCTGCTGAAGACACCAGTTGCGTGCCCAGATGTGCTCCTCCCCGCATGGACAGCGATCGCTGCTTTGCAGCATACCATGAGGCGGGGCACGCGCTGGTGGGGGCGCTGAGTCCTCTGGCTCGGGTGAGCGAGTGTGGGAGTGAGCGAGTGTGGGAGTGAGCGAGCGAGAGTAAGTGTGTACATCCACAATTGTGAGGCGCCTCAGCAGCCCCCTTGCTTGGCTTGCCCACCCGATCCCATTTCATCACATCCCATCCCATCCCATCCCATCCCATCCCATCCCATCCCATCCCATCCCATCGCATCCCATCCCATCCCATCCCATCCCATCCCATCCCATCCCATCCCATCCCATCCCATCCCATCCCATCCCATCCCATCCCATCCCATCCCATCCCATCCCATCCCATCCCATCCCATCCCATCCCAACCCATTCCATCCTACCCCATCTCTTATCGGCCAATCAGGTGGAAGGAGTGTATCTGGAGGACGAGGGCCAATCAGCAGCACCAGGAGGGGCCTATCGGCCAATCAAGTACGCAGGAGGGACCGACATTGTGTGGCGGGGGGAGATTGAGCCAATGACGTTGCGACAAGTGGTGGTTCATGCCATGGCCGTGTGGCTGGCTGGCATGGTGAGGGCTCATTGCAGGTGCCATGCACACAGGTATCACATACATACATTCATGCATGTGCATGTATGCATGCACACATCGACATGTATATACGCACACATGCCGGCATGCGACAAGGGGTGGTTCACGCCATGGCTGTGTGGCTGACTGGGATGGTGAGGGGGTGGAATGGTGCACCTGCGTGAGTGCACAACCAGGCGCATGCATGTTAATCCATGGTATGCACTGCAGGAGGGCAAACGTGCACACAAGTGTTACGAGCTTGCTGTGCACTCATGCAGCCAGCCCTCAACACTTGTGTGCCGGCAGGTGACACCATTTATGTGGCAGGCATATAATCAGCGGATGCCCACACGCACACATGCGTGCCGTTGCCATTCCTTTTCTCTCTTTTTTTTCTTCTTCTTTTTTCTTCCTTCATTTTCCTGGCCGCATGTCTATTGCATCATTAAGCGGTTGGTGCACACACTAGAAGAGACTTAAGCCGCCTCAATAGCCGTATGTCTACCACTTGTGCTCGTCCTCTTTTGATCCACCTACTTTATTCTTGTTTATGCGTCAGCGTCAGCCCCCTGCGTTGTATCCCCTCCTTCCCACCAGTCAGCAGAGGAGCTAATGTTTTTTTCTTTTCCTCTTTTATTCTTCCTACTTTATTCCTTCTGTAACTTGTTTATGCCTCAACCTTCTGCGTTGTATCTCCTCCTGCCCATCAGGCAGCAGAGGAGCTCATGTTTGGCCGAGTTGACCACTTCACTCGATCCGACGGCTGGTATTCATTCTCAGATGATCTTGCAAATGGTAGGTAGTTTTTTCGTGCCCTCGTTTACTCTCTTTTTCTGTTGCCATGCCTCTCTTCTTGCGCCTCCCTCTTTTTCCCTGCGTTCCTCGCCCCTTTTTCTTGCAGAGTTTATTCCTTACCCTTTTCTCTGAGCATCGTTTCTTGTCTTTCGTGTTCCTCTTTCCCTTCTTTCCTCTCCTTCTCCCATCACATCAGCTCCTCATCCTCTGTTGGCTTCAACCGGTCCCCCCACGTGCTTACCCCATCAGCTGCTGCACTCGCAGCAGCCTTTGCCCCCATCTGCCGGGCTCCAGACGTGTGGGGAGGGAGCTGCACCAACCCTCACCCTCATGCCTGTCCTACCTTTCCCTCCCTCCTTCCCCCGTGCCCACCCCATCAGCTGCTGCGCTCGCCACGGCCTTTGCCCTCATCTGCCGCGCTCCAGAGGTGTGGGGAGCTGCACCCACAGCACCACAGGCAGACGCACCACAAGAAGAGACACCACAAGAGGGAGGGGAAGCTGAATGTCAGCAACAACAGTTGTTACTGCTGCAGAGTGCCATACACACACCGCGCATCACAGGCTGGCGCATTCCCTCTTCCGCTGCCTTCTCTGACCTCTTTGGTGCCGGTCCGGAGGACCTTAGAGCCTGGCCTACATGCCTGGGGATGAGGGGTGGACTGGAGGGTCCGAGGGGAGGGATGGAGGAAGACAAAGCAGAAGCAGGAGAAGCGGCAGGAGCAGGAGAAGCGGCCGGAGCAGGAGAAGCAGGAAGAGCAGGAGAAGCGGCAGGAGGAGGAGGCGCAGCAGTGAGAAGGGTAGGGAGAGGGCTGGAGATGCGAGGCGTGGGGGCTCACGAGCAGAGGGTGCTGCAGGTGGTGCAGGAGGCGATGGCTCTCGCATCCACCTCTCTCCGGCAGCATGAGAGTGCCCTGCACGCCATTGCATGGCGCCTTGTGGATGCTGGGGAGGCGAGTGACAGTGAGATTGCAGCTGCTGTCGCTGGTGCTGGTGGTGCTCATGCCAGTGTGAAGACACACCACAGGGCTGTACATCCAGCTGCTGCAGGGTGATTCCTCTCAGTGTGCCATCGGGGAGTGCAGTGCAGTTGGTGCACGTGGTGCAGGTGCGGCAGGTGCTGCAGGTGCGGCAGGTGCTGCAGGTGCGGCAGGTGCGGCAGGTGCTGCAGGTGCTGCAGGTGCGGCAGGTGCTGCAGGTGCGGCAGGTGCGGCAGGTGCTGCAGGTGCGGCAGGTGCTGCAGGTGCTGCAGGTGCTGCAGGTGCTACAGGTGCTGCAGGTGCTGCAGGTGCTGCAGGAGGCAATGGCCCTCGCGTGCTCTACTCTCACAGCCACATGAGAGTGCTCTGCACGCCATTGCATGGCGCCTGGTGGATGCTGGGGAGGCGAGTGAGAGTGAGATCGCTGCTGCTGCCACCTGTGTGCTGTTGGTGTCGGTATTAACATGCAGCACGGGGCGGGGAATTTAGCTGCGGCTGCTTATGCTACGGCGGCTGGATGTGGGGAACCAGCATGGCCCAGCAGGGCGACCCAGTGCTGCAGGAGGCACATATGCACAGGCCCTCGTTCGTGACCCCCACTCTCAGACGCTGCGAGTGCCCTCGTGTCCTCGTATGCTCTGCGCGTCGTTTTTTTAGGAAGGGTGAAAATCGGTCAAAATTGCAATTTTGGACTCTGAACTCAACTTCAGGAGGAATAAAAGGCTGGAACGGCCGAGTTAGTGAAGATATGATTATTTATTCCGAAGTATTCTAAGAGAATGGTTCAGACAGACGATCTCATGATAAGATTATGAATTGAAACTTAGTTGAGACTTTGAGGTGGTAATAAGTGAAATGACTTATGTGAACATCCTATGTTATGAATATTTCTTCACCGCTTTCGACCGCTGGGAACCTAAACGAAAACCGCGTGCTTCTAGTTAGGGCTACCATCTTTCATGATGCTCTGCTGGGGCGAGTGGGGCGGGTGCAGGGGGATACCCATGATTCCCATGCTTATCTTGATCAGTCCATGTCAGGTCGCATTTCGGGCCTCGTAACAACCAACCTCGTAACAAGTTAATCGTCGCACACGTCCAAACTTGTTACGAGGTTTATTTTTCCACCTCCGAACAAACAAGTTTGACCGCTGACAGAGGGGTCGCACAAGTACAGTATTAGGTCGCAGGCAAGTAGGATGGCGCGATATTTCACGCTCTGCGAGTGCCTGCCACAGCCAGAACCCGACGGCCTGACGAACCGTATTCAACTGGCGCTGCCCTAAAAATTGCATTTCTGGAGGCAAAAGTTCAAGCGTGGCTCGCGACTTCACACAAATCATCATCCCAGCCTCGTCTTGATTGCATTGAAAAAGTTATTTTCGCCGTTCACATTTTTGCATGCCGACGTGATTTTTTTTTTGCTCACAGGCTGTAATTTTGGATGGGCGACCTCGGTTTGTGGTAAACAGTCGTCTGGTGGGAAATAGACGGTGCGCGACCGCTGCCAAACCGGCGCAAACGTTCAAATGCCTCCCCTGGACCAAGTTGAATTGTTACGAGGTTCAGGTCGTATAAAATCGCCAAAAATCGCAGTAAGTCGGACAGAGGTCGCTTGTTACGAAGTTGGTTGTTCGTAACAACCCCGAAATGCCTTCTCATTCTTCGTTATCTGTAACAAGACGAAGGCGATCTCGCCATCCTCGATTTCGCCAACTCAGCTCCTTGTGATCCGAACCAGAATTCGGAACACACCTTAAGTACATTTCGGGAATTCAATGTTGGAATCCAACATTGAATTGTGCGGCTCGTAATTCTGAGTTTCCAACCGTGGGAACAACTCCAGAGAGCATACTACTAGTGCTGGACACAACACGGCAGAGAACTCCAACAGCGCAGCAAAGCAATTGACAGCACAAGCAAGCATAGCTTCCTACAGCTATGGCTACTTCCAACGGTGCTCATGATCATCATTATCTACTATAGTGCGGACGACAACAAGACAAATAGTCTCTGCCCATGTGTTTAGTGAATTCCTAGGCTATGCTTATTGGTTCTAGGATATGACAACAAGGCTAGTATCTCTTGTAAATAATCATAGTGACTATGCCTTGCTGTTGTTAGCTCTAGGAATAATAATGGCGACCTGAGCGACCAGCTCGAGGCGCCCATGCTAGTATCCTAGTATATTAGGATGCATCTCTGAAATGTATGCCATCATATGATCCCTTGTAAGGCTATCTTGCTACTTTCTTCTTGGAATTCTTCTAAGGCCTCTTTCTACTACTACTACTCTGCCAAAACAGCTTAGTGGCTGTTTCATTTGGTATCCGAGCTATCTTCGATTCTCTTTTTCTTTAGAACAGCGTCATGACGACTAGTAAGGTACCTTCTCGTGATGAATGGGCCACCTACTTACAAACATACCGTGCCCAAATTGTTGCTGAAGTTAGAGAGAGCTTGCAAGCAGAGATGCAAGCTAGTATAGCTGCAGCTGGAGTGGCGGCAGCAACCTCGAGCCTTGCTGCACCGCCAGACGGAAATCAGCGCGCTAGACCCGCTCTTCCTGATTTTTTCTTTCCCGGGAGAAACCAGCCAGTTGTGAGCCGTTGGCTCTTTCTTGTTGAGCAATACCTGTTCCTGAGTCACTTAGCACCTGCCGAGTGGACTGCTTTCACCGGCACCCTTCTTCGTGGATCTGCTATTGCTTGGTGGCAATCCGTGCATGCGACCATCCAGTCATGGGATCAATTCAAGCAACTTTTCACTGCAACCTTTCAACCGGTGAACCCGAACATCAAAGCTCGTGACGCCTTGGCTTCTCTGAAACAACTCAAGTCGGTTCAAGAATACGCTTCTCGCTTCCGTGACATCGCTCAGGAGATCCCGGACCTTTCCGATGCTGAACGGATGGATCGTTTCAAGCGCGGGCTGAAAACAAACGTGCGCATGGAGGTCGAGCTAAGGGACTGCTCCACGCTCGAGGAAATGATACGCGTGGCTGAACGGTATGATGCTGTCCATTACGCATACAACAAGCCTCGCTTTCCTCGTAGCCCGTTTCTCCCGTTTGCTCCCTCCTACCAGCCCTCTTCATCAACGGACTCCAATCTGCAAGACCCTACTCCTATGGACCTGGACCTGATGGAGAAGAGGAAGAAGAACCCGAGACCTACCGTCGTGTGCTACAAGTGCGGCAAGAAGGGACACGTGTGGAAATTCTGCCACCAACGCACCAATCTACCTCCCATCCTCCCAACGCCGGGAAACTCAAGTCGCCAGTAAACGCGGGGCTACTTTCTGGTGACTATACCTGCCCCACTATCTCTTCCCTTGAAAGTCGTAACCCCTCTCAACCTCTTCTCCTTTCCATGCTGATTCGTGGTCAAACTGTAAAAGCCCTAGTTGACAGTGGGGCTTCCTCTAGCTTCATCTCCTCCTCTCTACTTTCCAAGCTTTCTCTTCCAACCCAAATTGATTCCCTACCTCAAACAGTGCTGATGGCGAACGGAACCTCGATTTCGTGTGGACGAGTACCATTTCCTGTTTCATGCACCATTGGACCCTACAAAGACAAGATTCAATTTCAGCAGGCATCTCTTGGAGACCATGAAGTGATTCTTGGACGTGACTGTCTTTCGCTCAAAAATCCCAAAATCGATTGGACTCTTGGAACCGTCACCATCTCTCACTCTGGAAGAGACATCACCTTACCTACCTTCTCCTCCTCTTCCTCCTCCTCCTCTACCCCCACTTGCTGCAATCTCCTCTCAAAACGGCAGCTTAAAAAATCCCTCAAGGATCCAAGCTCTCAATTCTTCCTCTGCTTCTTGAACGAAATTTCAGAAAATCCCCTTCTCTCTTCCCCTTCCAAGGATGCTGAAATCCCCTCTGAAATTCAACAGGTTTTGAACGAATTCAAGGACATCTTCCCTGCTGATCTTCCCTCTTCACTTCCTCCAAAGCGTGCCATCGATCATCGCATCATCTTACAACCCGGTGCTGAACCTACCGTTCGCGCTACGTACCGGATGAGCGCTGCAGAGCTGAAAGAAGTTCAGAAGCAGTTGGAGGAGCTTCTTGAGAAAGGCTTAATCCGCGTCAGTTCCTCTCCCTATGCAGCACCGATTCTCTTCGTCAAAAAGAAAGATGGCAGCATGCGCATGTGCGTTGACTACCGTGCGCTCAACAAAATCACCGTCCAGAATCGCTACCCGCTACCTCGAGTGGAAGAACTCTTTGATCAACTTGGTGAGGCCACAATTTTCAGCAAGCTGGACCTACGAAGCGGTTACCATCAAGTGCGTGTCGCCGACGAAGACATCGAGAAAACCGCCTTTCGAACACGGTATGGGCATTTCGAGTTTCTCGTGCTTCCTTTCGGACTAACAAATGCCCCTGCCACCTTCATGTCCTTGATGCACAGTGTCTTTCGGGATTTCTTGGACCGGTTTGTCATCATCTTCATCGATGATATTCTGATTTATAGCAAATCCTTGAAGGAACACGCCGAGCATCTAAGGCAAGTCTTCACACGTCTTCGTGAGCATCGTCTCTACGCCAAACAGAGCAAGTGTGAGTTTGCCAAGCCCTCAATTCCTTTCTTGGGCCACATAATCTCACACAACCAGCTTGCTATGGACCCTTCCAAAGTCAAAGCCATCAGGGAATGGAAGGAGCCAACCTCTATCAAGGAAGTGCAAGCCTTCCTTGGTCTTGCCAACTACTACCGCAAGTTCATTCGACACTTTGCTGCCATCACTTCTTCCCTATCCAACCTTCTTTGCAAGAGTGAACCATTTCATTGGGACTCTGACCAGCAAACTGCCTTCAATGCTCTCAAGTGTGCACTAACCTCTTCTCCTACTCTAGCCCTACCCAACCCCTCCCTACCTTATGTGATATGGACAGATGCGTCTCAGGTTGCAACGGGTGCAATTCTTTGTCAAAATCAAGGGCATGGCCTTCAGCCTCTTGCCTTCGAATCCCGGAAACTCAAACCTGCCGAGTGCAACTACGCTACTCACGATCGCGAGGTGCTGGCCATCGTCCATGCAATCAAGAAGTGGCGCTGCT